CCTCTAGTAACTGAGGGAAGCAGATGCAGAGATCCACAGCCAAGCACTGGACTGAGCTCTGGGAATCTTGGAGAGAGAGAGAGAGAGAGAGAGAGAGAGAGAGAGAGAGAGAGAGAGAGAGAGAGAACTGTACAAGCCAGGGAATCAAGGGCATCACAAAGGAACCCACAGAAACAACTAAAACAACTAACCTGGGCTCATAGTATCTCAGACTCTGGACCGACAGCTAGGGAGCCTGCATGGGACCAACCGAGGCCCTCTACATATGTGTGACAGTTGTGTAGCCTGATCTACCTTGTGGGACTCCTGGTGGCAGGAGCAGGGCCTGACCCAGATGCTTTGGCTGGCTTTCAGGAACCTATTCTTCATACTGGGTTGCCTTGCCAGGGGAGGAGCTTAGTCCTACACCTCAACTTGATATGCCATGCTTTGTTGACACCCATGGGAGGCCTGCTGCTGAACAGAAATAAGAGTAGTGAATTTTGGGGGAGGTGCCGGGAGGAGGAGGAGGTGGGGAGAGGAAAGGGAAGAAAGGGAAACCACTGTCAGGATATAAAATAAATGAACAAATATAATAAAAAACAAACAAAAAACCAATATAGTATATGAAAATATCCTGGTTCCATTGCCATGGCTCAGTGGTAAAGACAGTAGTCCCCAAGCCTGATGACAGACGTTTGATCCTAGATCCCACATGGTGGTAGGAGAAAACTGACTCTCATAGTTGTCCTCTGACCGCCACCCATGCACTGTGGCATTCATATACATTGGTAAGTGAACACAATTGAAAAATTCCTTCATGTTATATAGTACTATGCAAAATGAATATACACGATGAAGACTTTAATTTAAAAATGATCCTAATCTCTGATGGCTAACATTGTCATCTTGATGGGACCTAGAGTCACCTAGGAGAAACATCTGGGTGTGTCTGTGAGAAATTATTTTCTTTACGTTTTGTGTGTGTGTGTGTGTGTGTGTGTGTGTGTGTGTGTGTGTGCATGCGTGTGCACTCGGGCATACATGTGGAGGCCTGAAATGAATGTAAAGGATCAGCCCCTACTACTCTTCCAACCTATTCATTGAAGGAAGGTCTTTTAATCAAGTTCATGGCTAGTTAGCTAGTTTGCTCTAGGGACCCCATGTTCTCCTCCCAAGTCTGGAGTTACAAGCAGGCTGCCACATCCACCTGGCATTTCCATGAATTTCTGGGGATCCAAACTCCAGTTCTGATTGCACAGCAAACACTCTAACCACTGAGCCACCTCCTTAGCCCCCTGGGAAAGATGGTTTAGATCAGGTGGGAAGACTCGTTCTGAACTCAGGTAGCACTATCTCAGGGGCTGGGGGGTACCAATCTGAACAAAAAGGAGACAGTGAGCTGAGCATCAGCATCCATCTCTCTCTGCTTCCTGAGCATGGGGGTGCGATGTGACTGGGCTCCTACCACCATGCCAGACTGTACGCCCAAACTATAAACAAATCTTTCCTGGAGTTGCTTTTGGTAGGTGTTTTAACCTAACAAGAAAAGTAATATGAAATCATACATAAGAAGTGAAAGTACTGACATTTTATTAAGTTTTAAAAGCTTTACACGTGACAGAGTTAGGTGTGGTGCTTCTCAAAGACGTTAGCCCTGTGTTGCTTGGTCATTGTGAAGTTGTGAGGGGGGTCTCTATTTTTTGAGTGCTTCACATATTCACACTCTCAGCCCTGGATTGGGAAGACTGTCACCATCTTCTTCCTTCGAGGAAGAACAGATGATGTTATGTCCCAGGTACCTGCATACCGTCCCAGCACCTTTGACTCTAATATCCCAGTTGGACCAGAATTTGTTCCAGAGAATTCTAGAACTTAGCTCAGTGACCAGGCCCCTCAGAGGCAAAAATTATCCAAACATTTCTTAGGATGGGCTTGGGAGGTGAGTGGGGGTGTGGAGCAGGTGTTGGGGAGGGGATGGTAGAGCAAGGGTTACAGGCAGCAGTGAGTCGCCTAATGAAGGTGCTGAGTCTGAACTCAGGTCCTCTGCAAGAACAGTGTATGCTCACAACTATTGAGCTACCTCTACAGCCCTCACCTTGTTTGAGACAGGATCTCTCACTGGCCTGGGGCTCACTCATTAGACTAGGCTGGCTGGTCACCAAGCTCTAGATACCCCCTTGTCTTCACTTCCCCAGCACTGGGATGACAAGTGCACACCATCACGCATGGCTTTTATGTGGGAGCTGGATACTGAAGTTGTAAGGCAGGCACTTTATGACTGAACTATTTCACAGACATCAAAAGCTAGCATGATACATGTACCTGGAACCCTAGCATTTGAGAGGGCTTTACACGGGCTCTAAACACAGTTGTATATGCAGTGAAATACAGACAACAAAAGTCTTTTTTTTTTGAGCCAGGGTGTTATATAGCCCAGGCTGGCCTCTTACTTTTCAGCCCTTCTATCTGGGATTATAGATATACACCACCATGTTTGACACACACTATACCATGTCTAACTTTGCTTTTTTTTTTCTTTAAGAGAGATTCTCATGCAACCTAGGCTACCCTAAAATATGTACTATGCGTGCCTCTGCTCCTGAGTGCTAGGATTACAGGTATGGATCTCTTCACTGGGTTTAGCTTCATTTTAGCAATTAAAAATGTATATGTATATTTGTGTGTGTGTGTGTGTGTGTGTGTGTGTGTGTGTGTGTGTGTGCATACCATAGAGTGTATGGAGGTCAGAGGACAGCTTGTGGGGGTTGGCTCTCTTTCACTAAGTAGATCCTGGAGATTGAACTCAGACCACACATTAGGCAGCAAGTAACTTTACATGCCCAGGCACTTTACCAGTTCCATCTTAAGGATTTTAAAGCAGAATTTGCTGCTATTGAGAATGTATGTGAAGTGAACCCATCACCTCTACCCATCCCCATCATCCCAAGTTGAAAAGAAACTTTCTGTCCCCATTTAATGCTAACATATCTTCTACCCTACCCAGCCCCTGGGCCCACCACTCTCTACTTTCTGTTGCTATGAGTTTGCTCACTCTCAGGACCTCACAGAAGTGGAATCAAACAAGAGTTGTCCTTTTGTAACTGACTTTGTGTACATATGCAGTACATGTGTGCAAATGTTCGTGTGTACTTATGTTTAGAGACTGGAGACTGACTTCAGGTATATTCCTCATTCACTCTCCACTTCGGCTTTTTGAGACAGTGTTTCTCACTGAATCTGGAACTCACAGTTCGGATAGACTGAGTGGCCATCAACTCATCTCTGCCTTCCAAATGATGGGTTTACAGGGGCATATGCCATGCCCAGCTTTTTACATGGAGACTGAACTGTAACCCAGGTCCTCATGCTTGACTGACAAACACTTTGCCAATGAAGTATATCTCCAAAGTCCCCCATGGCCTTGAACTCACTATATGCAGCTAAGGATAGCTCTGAACCTCTGACCCTCTTGTGTTTACTTCCTGGGTGCTGGGGTTACAGTCCAGTGTCATTGCCCCTGATAACTTTATGTTATATATATTTAACCACTCAACAAATCTTTATGAAAACTTATCTGATCCCTATTTCCCAGGGTGGCATACAACTCAGATATTTTGTGGAATAACTCATCCCCAAACTATGTATTCTAGAAAAAGACAAAATGCAGTCAGTGGCAAAATGGTTTTCCAAAAGCTGGGCCAGTCTGCATTGTTTGCATTCTTAGATAGAAAATCATCTTTAGTGTCCTGTCCCTTCCCTTTCCAATCCCTCTGGTCCAACAAAAGTGCCAAGAAAAAGACAGTTTTTAAAGCAGAAATGAAGAGATTAACCTCAATGGGTGTAGACTGGCTTTGTGTGCACTAGGGAAGCCAAAGGTCAACCTCAGTGGTCATTCCTCAGGAGCCGTCCATGTTATTTAACTCTCTCTCTCTCTCTCTCTCGCTCTCTCTCTCTCTCTAACTCTCACTCTCTCTCTCTCTCTCTCTGTGTGTGTGTGTGTGTGTGTGTGTGTGTGTGTGTGTGTGTAAGGGGATGAGGGTGTGTTGCCACAGCATGCATGAGATCAAGGACAACTTTCAGTAATCATTTCTCTCCTACTGTGTGAGTCCCAGGGATTGAGCTTAAGTTGTCAAGCTTGACACTAAGTGCCTTTGCCCAGTTGTGCTGGATAGTATTGTTTTTGTTTTTCAAGACAGGGTTTTTCTGTGTAACCGCCCTGGCTGTCCTGGAACTCACTATGTAGACCAGGCTGGCCTTAAACTCACAGAGATCTGCCTGCCTCTGCCTGCCTCTGCCTCCCGATTAAAGGCATGCACCATCACTGACAGGCTATGCTAGCTAGTGTTATATCAGTTTGACAAAGGCTAGAATCATTTGAGAGGAGGGAACCTCAGTTAAGAAAATGCCTCCAGTGAGGCAGTGGTGGCCCATGCCTTTAATCCCAGCACTCGGGAGGTAGAAGCAGGTGGATCTCTGTATTCCAGGCCGGCCTGGTCTACAGAGCAAGTTCCAGGTCAGACACAATGAAACTCTGTCCTGAAAAACCAAATAAATAAGAAAGAAGAAGAGGAGAGGAAGAGGAAGAGGAGGAGGAAGAGGAAGAGGAGGAAGAAGAGGAAGAGGAGGAGGAGGAGGAGGAAGAAGAAGAAGAAGAAGAAGAAGAGAGAGAGAGAGAGAGAGAGATGCTTCCTTAAAATTGGCCTGTAGGCAAACCTGAAGGGTATTTTCTTAATTGGTGATTAATGGGAAAGTGCCCAGCCTATTGTAGATGGTCTATTCCTGGGCTGGTGGTCCTAGGTTCTAATAAGAAAGCAGGTTCAACAAGCCATGAGAAGCCAGCTGGTAGGCAGCATCCCTCCATGGCCTCTGCATCCACTCCTGCCTCTGGGTTCCTGCCCTATGTGAGTTCCTATACTGATTCCTTCCATGATGAGCAGTGATATGGAATTGTAAGCCAAATAAACTTCCTCCCCAACTTGCTTTTGGTCATGGTCATCATAGCAATAGAAACCCTGACTAATACAACACTGATCCATCTCACCAGCCCCTCCACAATATTTTTGTTTTGTTGTGTGAGACTCTTGCTGGATTAGAACTCCACTTGGCTAGCCTGGCTAGCCATAGTCCCGCCCAGAACCGGGATTATAAACATGTTACTACATTCCTGGATTTTTTTTTCATGAGTTCGAACTCAGGTCCTCATGCTTGCACAACAGGCACTCAGCAAGCTGAACCACCTCCCAGCTCACAGACAAGCTGCTTGATACTCAAAGGCCACCTAAACAACAGGAGCCAGGAGGGCAGCCAGCTAAATTCAGGAGGGTGGGGAAGAGAAGTCAGCATGGCTGATCGCCAGGTTTGTAGCAATAGTGTTGGAAGCATGGCTACCAAGAGGTAGCCCCAGGACACAGGGCCCTTGTTACTCACCCCGCTAAAGTGTTTCTCAATAATGTTCAGGGCACTGTGGCTAATGTGACAATTCTGGTGGAGCTGTAAGGCCTCAATTTTTTCAATACCACCAACTTCTTCCATCAGAAGACACAGCTTTTGCTTCTCATGCATCTTATCTGCCTCCTGAGGATGGATGGGGACCAGCAAAGAGAGCATCAGACATAGTGTTCTGGGAGGGGTTCACTGGCCCATCCTAAAGGAGCTTTCCCAGGTGGAGACAGACCTGTTCCAGCAGGAGTGGCCACAGACCCATTGGAAATGTCAACATTTCCTTCTCATTTCATGAATTCATTTACTTTATCATGCATGTGTGCATTCAATCACAAAATCACTCATGAATTCATTCACTTGTTCGTTCACAAATGCACCCATGAATTCATTCATTCACAATAATCATCCATGAATCTATTCACTCACAAATACATGAATTCACCTGTGCATTTACTTGTTCACACATTCATTCATTCACTTTTCTACTCAAAATGTACCCAACATTGGAGAATACAATGTGGTAAATATAAAAATGATTTTGTCCAAAGCACTAAAGAATTCAAAGTGAAAACTATAAAAAAATATTTAATAATAAAAAAATACATAGGTGCTGGAGAGATAGCTCAGAGGTTAAGAGCACTGGCTGCTCTTCCAGAGGTCCTGAGTTCAATTCCCAGAACCCACATGGTGCCTCACAGCCATCTGTAATAAGATATGGCACCCTTTCTGGCCTAAAAGTATACATGCAGACAGAATACTGAAAACACAATAAATCTTAACACACACACACACACACACACACACACACACACACACACACACACACAAGCCAAGTCATGGTGGCCCACACCTTTAATCCCAGCACCCGGGAGGCAGAAGCAGGTGGATTTTTTTTTAATTCGAGACCAGCCTGATCTACAGAGCAAGTTCCAGGACAGCTGGATCTGTTTCACAGAGAAACCCTGTCTTGAAAAACCAAACCAAACAACAACAAAAAGTCTATATAAGCATTACAAGACTCTAGAAACTACTAACACAGGGTTTCATGTAGCCCAAGCAAGTCTTGAACTTGGCTATGTAGCTGGACATAATAACCTCAACTCCTGATCCTCCTACCACCACCTCCTAAGTGTTGGTATGACAAGCACAGCTCAATCCCTAAAGGAATTCACAGTGTCAGTGCATGGTGTTTACCCTCTCCTTTTGTCCATACTGTCCTGGAGAAATGATGCTGTCCTGGAGGATTTATCGTACTTTCCAAATCACTCCCATCCTCCTTCTATGACTTCATCACCTGATGGTTCACTAGATCTGTCAAAAGTTTGATATGTGTATATGTTTGTCTTATTGGTTGATAAATAAACCACTGTTGGCCAATAGGGAAGCAAGACAGGTGGGGCTAGGAGTCGAGGAGGATTCTGGGAAATGTAGCAAACAGGAGAGTCACCATGTGATCCTGGGAAGAGAGGATGCATGCCGCTGGCATCCTTGATAAGATAAGTCTTTATCAAATTATATAGATTAATGGTTATCATTGATAATTAAGACAGAGCTAGCAAATAAGAAATCCTAGTCATTGGCCAGCAGCATTGTAACTAATATTAATCTCTGTGTGTTATTTGGGGGCCCTAACGTGGCAGCAGAACTCAGGTGGCTGGTGGAAAGAGTTATCGTTACATAGGGAGGCTAGAGAAAGGACTTGGTGGTGAAGTGTATTGACTGTTTTTCCAAAGGACACGGGTTCAGTTCCCAGTGCCCACAGAGTGGCTCACAAGCATCTGTAACTCCGGTTCCAGGGATTCCCATGTCCTCTTCTGGCCTCTGTAGGCACTGCAGGCATGTGGGGCAAATATATACATGCAGGTAAAATACCCATTCACATAAAATAAAAATAAATCAATCTTTTAAAAAAATCTGATACATGGTGGTGCATTCCTGTGTTCTCAGCATTTCAGAGACCCTGTGATGTAGAAGGATTACTGTGAGTTCTATGTAATCCTTCCTAGGCTACATAGAGAGCAAAATAAATAAATAAATAAAAACAAAAACTAATTCAGGGTGGAGAGATGGCTCAGTGGACCTGAGTTTGGTTCCTAGCACCCACAAGGTGACTCAGCGCCTATTGTGAGCTGCAACTCCAGCTCCAGGGGACTCTGATGCCTCTGTTGGCACCTGTCCTCATGTGCACATATCCACACAATTCAAAACAAAAATACATCTTTAAAAAAAGGCTAGTAATTCTTTTTTCTTTTCTTCAAGACAGGGTTTCCCTATGTAGCCCTAGCTGTCCTGGAACTCTCTGTAGACCAGGCTGGCCTTGAACTCACAGAGATCTATCTGCCTACCTCTACCTCCCCGAGTTCTGGGATTAAAGGTGTGTGTCACAATGCCTGGCTCAACTCTTTCAAAGTCTGTTGAGTTTTGAATCATCTGTGGGTTTCTCAGCCTCACGCAGGGCAAATCCACATCTTTCCTAGCCGGTCTCACTTGCTCCCAAACCCAAGTCTTTGGTCTGCTCTCCCTCCATTTTCCAACCACTTGCTCTTGTTGCCTCCCCACAATATTCTTTTTGCCTAGAATGTTCTGCTCCAGGTGTCCACAAGACTCCTCTACACTCAGATCTCTGGATGGGACGTTCCTCAGAGAATGGTCCCTCCCCTGAGCACTGCGTATGTGGCAGCAGCCACTCCCTACCCTGAATGAGCAGTGACTGCTCAGTCTGACTCCTTCACAGGAAACCTCTGCAGTGTGCCCTGTGTCACTCACACACAAGCGCCACAGGACATGGATTTGAACAGGTCTGTTCTGAACACTTGTCACAAAGGTGCTCACATGAGAAACTGGAGGTGGGCGCACGCGCGCGCGCGCGCACACACACACACACACACACACACACACACACACACACACACACACACACTTTCTTCATAGACTGGGTAGCCCAGCAGGCTAACTTCAAACATTCTACTTAGCCTAGGCTGCTCTCAAACTCATGGCTTCCTTCCTCTGTCTCCAGAATACTAGGATGACAGGTGTACCACTGCTAAGCTTGGCTTGGAGTCCTTTTCTTGTTTCTTTTTTTATTTTTTTCTTTGTGTTATCCACAGTATGTGGGGAGAGTGGGAAGAATGATAAGAGAATCCTACTCAGGATCATTCATTCATTCAGAGTCAGGGTCTCATGTAACCCAGGCTGGCACTAACTCGATGTATAGCTGAAGATGACCTTGAACTCCTGATCCTCCTATCTGGACCTCCTGAGTGCTGGGATTATAGGCATGTAGCAACATGCCTGGGTTATATGGTGCTGTGGATGGAACCGAGGGCTTCACGCTAAGGAGGCATGCTACCAAATGAGTTACATCCCAGCCTGACCTACTTGCCTTACTTTTCTTAAGCTTTTTTACATTCATTTTCTCTCTCTCACTCCCCACCCCTGATGTATGCACCAACACATGTACCATTACACACGTGTGGAAGGCAGATGACAAAGTTGCAGGAAATCCATTCTCTCCCACTGCCACATGGGTCCTGGGGATTGAACTCAGGTGGTCAGCTTGGTGGCAAGCACCCTTACGCCTGAGCTCTTGTGCCACTCCCTCCAAGCAACCCCACTGCCATATTTCTAAGAAGCAGCTCACTGTCTTCAGCTGGAGACTGCCTCCAGAACAGCTTACCTGGAGAAAGAAAGAAACAATGTCAAGGATAATGGTGACGATCCTCAGGTCTGGAGCAGTGAGCAGATTCAGCAGTGGCTCCAAGACTCCCGAGTGGACAAGCATGGCCAACTGGTTCTGAGTGGCCCCTGTTGCAAAGTTAGCCACGGTCCACACAGCTTCCTTCTGGATCTTGAATTCTGCCTGCAACGACAGAGGTTTTTGTGTTCTCTACAGCACCCAAGGGTCATCATACAGCGATGCTGACTTGATTCATTTTTTGTTGTTTTTATACATTATTGAGACAAGCTCTTGAGTAGCCCAAGCTGGTCCCCAACTTGGTATAAGGAAGAGGAGAACCTAGAACTTCTGATTCCCCGACCTCTACTTCCCAAATGCTATCCTTACAATGAGTGCCACCTTCAGTCTTTTACTTAAGCTTTTAAAACTAGGGTTTCACTATATAGCCCAGGCTACCCTAGGACTTACTAGGTAGCCTAGGCAGGCCTTCAATTTGCAATCCTCCTGTTGCAGCTCCTGAATGTTAGGATTACAGATGTGTGCCACCAGACCTGGTCTTAACTTGGCTTACGCTGTAGGTCAGATAGTAAGAACTGAGACTACATATGAAATTTATGTCCCATGCCCTGAAAACCTGCCTTCGATTCACTAGAATACAGTACCTTAGTGGAGTCATGAGGTAGGCAGATTGACTCCCACAAGACATTGAGACATTACTTTTCTTCTTTCCTTGTCTTAGACAGGGTCTCATGTGGCTCAGGATGGCTTTACAAGCACAGTGTAGCCACAGATGACCTAGCACTTCTGATTATCCCACTACTCTCTCTCTTCATGTGAATGCTGGATTGAACTCAAGACTTCATGCTTGTACAACAGGTGCTTTACAGACTCTCTTCCCAGTCCTGCCACTTACGTTTCTTAGTAGGGCTACCAACGGAGGCAGCAGGTCACAGGTAATCAGCTGCTGGATGTGGTGTTTGGGCCCAGCTGCCACGTTGCTCATGGCCCAGGCAGCTTCCTTCTGGATAGAGGGCTTTGGGTGTCTTAGGAGTTGGCCCAGGACCTTCAGCATGCCAGCATCGATGGCCATCTGGGTCTGCTGGTCCGTTCCTGTGACAATGTTGCCCATAGTACGGAGAGAAGGGGTCTGGAAGGACCAAGACAGGTGTCTAAGTGTTGCAAATGTGTCACGGTACAGGTAACTCACATCCCGAGCACTGTGCCCAGAAAGGTCTGGACGTTTGTGGTGTTTTATCCGGTTAGCATGCCCATAGCTACTTTCACATTGTTTCAGGTACTTGCTAGCCTCTCAAAAGTTCTCAGTCAAGATGGATAGATAAGGACACTTGTCAGAAAATGATGATATGCTGGGGGATGGGTGTGTAGCTGGTGGTAGAGTGCTTGCCTAACATGTATGAAGTTCTGTGTATATAAACCTGGCATGGTGCTACATACCTGTAATCTGGGTACATGGGAGGTAGAGTCAGGATGTCCCAAAGCTCAAGCTCTTTCTTGGCTAGATAATGAATTTAAGGCTTGTCTAGACTATGTGAGACTCTGTCTAAAAACAAACAAACAAACAAATAAACCATTCTGCTGTACTGGTTTTGTTTAGGGGTTTTGAGACAGGGGCTCTCATGTAAGCTCAAGTTGGTCTCTAATTCATTTTGTGGCCAAGCTTTTGATCCTCTTGTCTTTTTCTAGAGACAAGGTCTCACCCCACAGTGGTCTCCTACACAGTATGTAGCCCAGGATGACCTTGAACTTCCTGATCCTCCTGCCTCTACCCTGAGTGCAGGGACTACAGGTGTAGTGCAGGGACTACAGGTGCAGTACTGGGGATAGAAACCAGGGCTTCCTGCGTGCTAGGCGAGCACCAACTGAGCCCCATCCCTGGCCCTGGCCTTGAACTCACAGTCCTTTCTCAGCCTCTGCTAGGATCGTCCGTATGCACCACATGTCCATCTTCCTAAACTGAGCTGGGAAAATGTGAAGCTAATTGTGGACTCTGTTGTACATTTACATTCATGATGGCTCCAGGCTTCTGCTGTCTATTTAACTGGAGCCAATGAACACCCAGTGTTGTATCTGGGGGTGTTCACCAGCCTCTTTAAGTAGCTTGGAGGATCCCCAGGTGGGTCTGTGATGGAGTATAAGGTGACAAGCATCTCAGGAGAGCTGAATGTAGATTATTTGGTTGCTGTGGCAACCCCCAGTGAAGGCTATCAAGAGTGCTGGGTTTTACACCATTAGACTAACCTGTAACTGACATAAGGGGCAGATTAGTCACTACAGGCTTGTCCAGGTAATACCAACTGGGCCTCAGAGCACGTCTATGAAAAGTTGCTTTCTTGGGAAGGTGAGATGGCTCAGTGGGTAAAGGTGCCTGCAGTCTCAGGTCTGATGATCCAAGCTAAATTCCTTGGGCCCACATGGTGAAGGAGAGAATCGACTCTTGCAAGTTGTCCTCTGCCCTTCACACGTGCATCATGGTATATGCTCACCCCACATATAATAAATACATAAGTGGTGCTGGAGAGATGGCTCAGAGGTTAAGAACACTGATTGCTTTTCCAGAGGACCTGAGTTCAATTCCCAGCAACCACATGGTGGCTCACAACTGTCTGTAATGAGATCTGGTGCCCTCTTCTGGTGTGTCAGCATACATGCAGACAGAACGCTGCATACATAATAAATAAATCTTTTAAAAGATAAATATATAAATGTTTAAAGTTGCTTTTTAAAAATTTTTAGAGACAGGGTCTCTTTATGAGCCCAGGCTAGCCTCATATTTGTGATCCTTCTCTCAGCCTCCTAAGTGCAGTTACATGCATCCAACACTGGACCTGGCTACTTCTCTCCTGATAGTCTCCCTGGCCCCAAGTATTATCACTAAACTCACTTTGCCATCTGGAAAAATACTACGGTAATCTCAGAAAAGATGGCCACTAAAGATGTATGTGATACAATAAAAATATAGTGACTGAGAGAGGTCAAGGTGGAATAGAACCAGATACAGCGGCATGAGCCATAGTCCCAGCACTGGGGAGGCAGAGGCAGAAAGGATCAAGAGCCTGGGGTTATCAGCTGGAGACTGAGGTACAGGCCAGCTTGGGCTACATAAGACTCTGTATATTAAAAACAAAAGCAGGCATGGTACTGGGTGCCTTTAATTCCCACACTCAAGAGGCAGAGGCAGGCAGAGCTGGGAGTTTGATGTCAGGTTTACATAATAAAGTTCAGACCAACCGGTGAGACCCTGTCTATCTGTCTCTCTGTATGTGTCTGTTTCTGTGTTTGTGTGTTTCTGTCCATCATGTGTGTCTTGTCTGTCTGACTGTGTCTGTCTCTCTCTGTGTGTGTGTGTGTGTGTGTCTGTCTGTCTGTCTGTCTGTCTGTGCATCTGTCTGTGTGTGTGGGGGGGGTTCTGTCTCTGTGTGGGGGTCTGTCTCTGTGTGTGTGTTGTCTCTCTCTGTGTCTTGTCTCTGTGTGTCAGTCTTTCTCTGCCTCTGTCTCTCTGTCCCTCCTCTATATGTCCCCCCTCTCTCCCCTCCCCCCCTTTTCCCTTCCCCGCCCCCCCCCCCCTTCCCCTCCCCCCCCCCCCCCGTTTTCTCTGTCCCCTCTTCTCTATGTGTGTACATGTCTGTGCATGAGCCTGTCTCTGGGTATATGAGTCTCTGCCCCTCTCCATTTCTGTTTCTCTATCTCTCATATACAGACACACACAGAGACGAGGGAGAGAGAGAGAAGGAGAGACAATAAAGCAACTTGCTCAGTAGAACATTAGGAAAATATGTAAGAAAAATCCCTGGGTGGTAGGGTTATAAGCAGTTCACTTTCTGCTCTTCAGGTGGAGAAAACCTAAGTTCTTTAACTACCACTAGAATCTGAGATGGAAACTTAAGAGTTTAGTAAGAAAGTCTCAAAGAGCTGAGACTTATAGGTGATAATCTGGGTTTCAGGTGAAGGGTTAAAGTTGACAGAAGACCTGGGGTGGGAGGTGGAGATGAGAACCCCATACAGGAAAACCTGAGGTGGATACAGGAGACCTGGGGTGCGAGGTGGGAATGAGGGCCTAATATGGTGAATTGGACTCATAGGATCTAATCTGTTTTCGGTTTTTGAGCCATGGTGCCCCATAGTCCAGGCTAGCCTTGAACTCACTATGAGTCCAAGCATGCCTTGAACTTCTAATCTTCCTGCCTCCATCTCCCCAGTGCCAAGATTACACAGGTATATTCCACCAAGCCTAGTTTATATGTTGCTGGGGATGGAACCAGGGCTTGGGGTATGCTGGGCAAGCACTCTGAGCTGAAGCCTCTTGCAAAGACAGTTGAGATACAGGGTGACATTTACCAAGATAATGAGTTCCGGGCTGGTCATGAGCTCTACAAGCCTGGGCAGGACCCCCATGGCCACCACGTGATGGATGCGATCATTGTGGCCCTCTGTGAGGTAGGACAGAGCCCAGCAGGTGTCTGAGAGGATCTCATTGTCATGATGCTGCAGGAGCTCAGAGAGGGTGGGCAGAATCTGCAGCACAGCCTCCTGGGAAGGGTACGGATTCTTGTTTCGGCACAGGTTGGACAAAGTCCATGTGATGTTCCGAAGAAATGTGACCTATGACGGGGTGCAAAGGAGACAAAATGTAAATGATGGCATGCCCTTCCCATCCCCGATCAATACTATTGATTAGCACAAGCCAAAGTTTTTGTGCATCAAGATGAACTCATTTCAGGCAGTGATGTCCAGGGCAAATACAATGAGTTTTATAGTTAAATATTTAAGTGTCATATGAAGGTTTCTTTGTATTCTTCACAATGCCTTCCCCCACTCTGCTCAACAGATGTCTTAATTATTTCAAGATTTTATTTTTGTTTATGTATATAGTGGAGTGTCTGTGTTTGGGTATGTGCCATGTGTGTACACATGCTCACAGAGGCTGGAAAATAGAATGAATCCCCCCAGCCCCCTGGAGCTGGCCTTACAGGCAGTTGCAATCAACTTGGCAAGGGCGCTGGGAGATGAACTCAGGTCCTATGCAAGAGCAGCAGGTGCTCTTGACGGCTGAGTCATCTCCCCAGCCCCTAGCCTACTGGTTTGTTACCATGTGTGTAAGTGCACATATACATATGTGGTGGTCAAGAAGATAACCTCACCTTCCATTTTCACCTTGTTTGAGACAGGGTCTCTGCATTTCACTCTTTGGGTTTCTGTACACCAGGCTTTCTAGCCGGCAAACATCCAGGGATTCTCTTGTTCCCACCTCCCAATTCACTTCTGGAATTACAGGTGTGTGTTACTGAACCTAACATTATGTGGTTGTTGGGATTTGAACTGGGGTCCTTATACTTGCACAGAGAATACTTTACCCAATATGCCATCTCCCGGCCCTTGATCTCATTTTCACTGACAAAAACAAACAAACAAAAAAAAAACCCCAAAAAAACAAAAAACAAAAGCAAACAACCAAAAAAAGCCAATCAGACAATTGACTGCCCACATGCATGTCTATAATGACAGCCATGGTGGAAGCAGAGAGATTCTGAGTTTGAGGCTGATGGGCTGCATAGAGTTCAAAGCCAGCGTAGGATACATGAAGACTATGTCACAAACAAACTCAGGAATTGTTTGGTCTTCTTGCCATTGATAACTCTACTGGCCTACCAAAATAATTCATATAATATATATTGGTGTTAGCAATTGAGCCCAGGGTCTTGTGCATGCTAAGTAAGCATGCTACCACTGAGCTACATTCCTTTTATCCCCCCCCCTTTTTTTATTTTCAAGACAGGGTTTCTCTGTCGAGACTTGACTGTCCCGGAACTCACTCTGTAGACCAGGCTGGCCTCAAACTCAAGAGATCCGCCTGCCTCTGCCTCCTAAGTACTGGGATAAAGGCATGTGCCACCACTACCCAGCTATATATTTTTTAATTTTTATTTGTGTATGTATGTGTGTATATATGTGCCATGTAAGTGTAGGTACCTGTGGAGGCCAGAGAGGGCATCTGATTCCCTAGAGTTGGAGTTATAGACTGTTGTGAGCCTCTTAGTGTGCCTGCTAGGAAGTGAACTCAGGACCTCTGGAAGAGTAGTGTGTGCTCTTGACCCTGAGCCATCTCTCGGGCTCCATCTCTGCTCCTTTTAACTTTTTTTTTTTTTTTTTGAGACATGGTGCTGCTAAATTGCCCAAGCAGCCTTTGAACTTGAGATGCTCCTGCCTCAGCCTCCCAAGTAGTAGGGATTACAGACCTGTTCTATTATGTGCAGCTACATCCTTCTTCCTTCTTTTTCTTTATTTCTTTTGAGACAAAGTTCTACCACAGAGCTCATGGGGGCTTTGCAAAATTCTAACTACATGTGTGTTTGTGCCATGTTGTCCTGCAGGACTTGGTTTTCCCCTTCTATCACATGGATTCTGAGGGTTGAATTCAGCAGGGAAAGACACTTGTCACCAAGTGGAACAACCTGAGTTCAATCCCTTGGTTCCCATAGCAAAAGAGGGGGGAAAGTACCTTACAAGTACATGAGAGTGTGCACACACACAATAAATGAAATTCAAAAGTAGATAAATAAATAAACAAATACACTCACTGGTATGTTTGTCGAAATGAGATCAAGCAGTTTGGGGATGGCATTGTTGGAAATGATATTGTCTCTGAATGCTGGGCCGTCACCTACAAATGGAAGAGAGCATGAGACAAAGGATGTGGGCACACACCTTTGAACCCAGCACTTGGGAGGCAGAAGCAGGTTGATTGAATTCAAGGCCAGCCCAGTCTACATAGTGAGTTACAAGCCAGTCTGGTTACATCTCAATCCACTCTTCCCAAAAAGTGGACAAGGAGAAACCCAAACTTTTAAAGTTTGTACTTAATGGGACTGGAGAGATGGCTCAGTGGTTTAGGGCACATATTGTTCTTGTCGTGTATCTGCCCTGGCAGGCAGCTCACAACTGTCTAGAACTCCAGCTCCAGGAAGATCTGACTCTCTCTTCTGGCCTCAGTGGGCATGCACACACCAATACACAGATACATAGATACATACAAGAATTTTTAAAAATTTATCCAGTTAGATGGCTCAGTGGGAAAAGGCACTTGTGGCTAAGCCTGATGACCTGAGTTCAATTCCCAGGACCCTGGTGGTGGAAGGGAGAACTCAATCTTGAAAGTTGTCCTCTCTAAGACCGCCACATGTGTATAATCCCCACCACAACCTCAAATAAATGAGTGTGATTATTTAAAGTTTATACAGAGGGTGAGAGACTGAAACTCAGTTTGGGTTGTATGGCAAGTAGTTGGAATGGCTGTATACTGGATCCTGGGTTTGCTAGGTGGCTGGGGTGGGGGCATATTCATGTCCAACAACACAAGCAGGCACTGCATGGCTGCAGATGTTCTAAGCAGAGGTTGTGGGCACAGAATGAAGACAGCCAGCTTTGCCTAGGAGGTTATCGATTATAAACACTAGCTGCACTTCATATCATGGCTCTCAGACTGATGCTCATAAGAAAACTATTTTCCCAAAGAATGTTGGCATGGGCATTCACTTCCAAATGCAATTCAGAACAAACTCTGGGGTCCACAGAGGGTGGGGATCAGCCATTAGCAATTTCACCCAGTGTTGCTTTTTTTTCCCCTTTTCTTTTCGAGATGGGGTTTCATATGTTGTCCTGGCTGGCCTGACCTCAGAGATCCACCTGCCTCTGCCTCCTGAGTGTTGGAATGAAAGGCAAATGCTGCCATGCCTATCCACTTACTATTTCTATTTAGACAGTGTGTAGCCAAGGGTGTCCTTGAACTCCTGATCTCCAAGTGCTGGGATCAGAGATGTGCACCAACATGCCCAGTTGTATATAATCTTGGGAATGAAACCCAGAGCCTCCTGCATGCTAAGCAAACACCCCACCAACCAAGCTATGTCTCCCCAGCCTCAGCGTATGACAATGACACCCTAGAAGTCTCACTTTGTACCATTAGCTATCAAGGCAAAGCCTAAGTCACACTTACTGCTTGGTCTTGTTGGTTTCCTGTTGACACAATTGAAACAAACCCAAACACAGTCATAGATGTGAGCCTTCCTGAAGCATTTTCAAAGTGATTGTTTTGCTGGGCAGTGGTGGCGTACACCTTTAATCCCAGCACTCAGGAGGCAGAGGCAGGTGGATCTGAGTTTGAGGCCAGCCTGGTCTACAGAGCAAGTTCCAGGACAACCAGGATTAAAAACAAGAAAGAAAGAAACCATCAGAGTGGTTGTTCAGTATTCTCTTGGCTAATTCAGGCTCTGAAGTCCCTAGGGACTGATGTGCTGACTCATTGAGTTTCAGCTTCTCTGAACTCGAAAATTACTAATGCTTGGTTGGTTTTAACTTGTCAAAATCCCAAGGGGCCCAATTGAGCTCTCCCCCTAGATGACATTTGTATTAATTTCAGCCAGGAATCTGGGGGGGTCCAACTCTTTAGCACTAACTCGTTTAGATTTTCCCATACCATACAGGGGATAAAGCAATCACCTCCAAGACTACACTAAGCTTTTCAGGGAAACTGTCTCTCCATCTCGCCCCATGTATGTCATCTATATTTATAAATACACACACACACACACACACACACACACACACACACACACCCCTAACCTAGTGAGTTTTATAGGTGATACAGGCTTCTCTAGTCCTGGACTGGGTAAGAATAAACCCATACTGCAAAGGTCACAGACTTACTTGTTTCCTTTTGAGACAGAGTCTCATGTAGCCCCCAGGCTGGTTTCAAACTCACGACCTTGAACTCCTGCCTCCTCAGTGCTGGGATTTTAGACAGAAACTACTACTTTTGGTTTGATTGATGTTGGGGATGGAATCCTGGACTCCACAATGCTATTTTCCCCAGACTATTTGATCTATTTTTCATTTTTTTGAGACAGGAGCTTACCATGTACCCCTGAGTGGCCTGGGACTCACTTGAGAGACCAGGCTAGCCTTTAATTCAAAATGATCCTGTCACCTATCTCAGAGCTGGGATTACAACAATCTTGACTCCCCATACCTGGCTTCAGTTTTGTTTCATTTATGTATACGTGTTTCTGTGCGTGCTCGTACTGGTAGAAGCTAGAGATCGATGTTAGGTGTCTTTACGTCTTCCTGAAATTGTTTTCCACTTTTTTTTTTTCTGAGATGAGGTCTCTTACTGAACCCGAGGCTCACTTATTTATCTGCAGTAGCTGGCAAGCAAACTCCAGGGATCAACCTGTCTCCACTCCTCTAGTGCTGGGATTGCAAACAAGTACCACCATACTGACTGGGGATCAAACCAGTCCTCAAGCTTATCCCCCAGCCCTTGTTGTTATTTGAGACAGGACCTCGCTGACCCCAGGCTGGCCTCAAATTATGACTTTGAATTCCTGGTCCCCCTGCCTCCACTTTCCAAGTGTTGGGATTCGTTGTGCACCATGCATGTAGCTCTGAGATTTATCTTTGTTCCGGAAGCCATTAAGGCCCGAGGCTGTAGGATCTGGACTCAGAAGACATTCCTGGGCAGCTCCTCACTTTTAGTATGTGTTGCATTATCTGTTCTCAGCCTCTGACCTTGCTTCTGGGTTTTGAACAATCTCATTCCCCAGCACAAGGTTTTCATAATGCAATGGGGGTGGGCACCAAAGTCACCAGTGTAACAGAAATCCACTCCATGTCCATCACCCCCATGCCTTAGCCCACTAAAGAAAGTGTCTTACCAGCTATATTACCAAGGGCCCACACTGCCTGTTCACACACAGACATATGTGGGGAAGATAAGAGTTCAATCAGGGGCTGGATGGCACCCCCTTTCACAACAGCTTGGGTCTGCTCTGAAGTTCCTGAGGCAATGTTGGTGAGAGCCCACGCTGCCTCGAACTGCAAGTTGGGGAGAAGTGACACCTTCAGGAACTCTACCAGCTTGGGAATGATCCCTGCCTCAATAATCGATTTTAGAGGAGGGTTCCTTTCCTGAGATAACATTTTCCTGTGCAACGAGACAGAAAGAGTGGGGAGAGTCACAGTTCTGAGGAACTCCTTTTTAAGGTACTCTTAGCATTCCTATGTTTTTTCAATACTGCAAATTGAACCCAGGGCCACATATATGCTAGGCAGGGGCTTTTCTATAAGCCACATCCCCAGCCCCTCTCTGGGGGATTCTAGGTAGGTGCTCTACCCCTAAATTAAAACTCCAATCATTAACTATCAGATAAGAGAGTTGGCTAGGGCTACTGTTAATTCTGAAACACTTTGCAGGAGTCCAAAAGCAACATTTTGTCCTTCAGGTATTATCTATGAGCTAAAATCCCTGCAGAGGCCAATGTAAATTAAGCAATTCATCTCTGACAACACACTGCATGTCTTAAGTTGCCCTCAAGGACGATGGAGCATAGTAATCACCTCCTGCTTTTGGATGAACTAGCCCTTTTCTTCACTGCATGGGCATTTTGCCAATGCCAGGAAATCCAATAGGCTACTGGAGCTCATTTTGGCTATAAAACTACAAATACCAGAAGGTCTGCATGGTGATACCTGGCAGCCTGAGTGGCCATGAGACACACCATTGGATCTGAGCTATTCACACCTTTGATTATGTCTTCCAGAATGAGGCTGGCCTGCTAGGAAAAAGCACATTCAGGTCAGTCATTCAGCCTCTGTCAAAAGAAAGCATAGGGCCAATGAGATGGCTCAGAGGGTAGGTAAAGGTACTTGCTGCCAAGTCTGACAACCTGAGTTTGATACCCAGGACCTACAAGGTGGAGAAAAATGGACTCTCACTAATTGTTCTGACATCTGTGTGTGCACATGGCTTTATACCCACAGAGATAGAGAGAAAATAAATTCAACAAACAATTTGCAATAATAATAATATAAAATAAAAATAAGGACATCACTTAGCTTAGTGGTCCCCTTGAGTTGAACAGATATCCATGGTATACCCACAGCTCCACTAAGAAAGGGAGGGGCATTTATTGGCCCACAGGTAATAGGTCAAAGTAGGTCACTCTCCATGCTTAAGACAGGTGATCCTAGCAGCCTCAGCATTTTTTCTAAAAAAATGTGTGTGTGCACCTGCAACACACACGCATGTGAACACATATAATAGCAGGTGAGCATACCACTGAGCCATACCCCAGACCCTCACTGGGGATTCTAGGCAGTGGCTCTACCACTGAGCCTCACCTCAGCACCTCACTAGGGGATTCTAAGCATGTGCTCTTCTGTTAAGGCACACACAAATCCTACTCCTTTCTTTAAATTGAATTAAATTTAAATTTAATTAGCTCTGACTCTATTAAGCCTCCTCATGCTAAGAGATGCTAGCCAAGGCTGTACCCTGCACAGGATGGCCTTCAACCCTTAGTTCTAACACTACCTTGACTGGTTCCTGAGAAAACAAGTCATTGGAGAACAGGCTGATATTTCTTCTCTTTAAGGTCTGCTCATCTTTCTTAGCCTTTCGGAGTTGCAAGTTGGCAGCAATCCTCTGTTGTCGCCTCGCCTAATAACGAAAACAAATAATTGGAGTTGTTATAGCCAGGTTGCTGGAGAACTAGGACTTCATCCCATTTGGGGGTTTAGCATTATTGTTATTATTATTATTTAATATTTACAGGTGTTTTGCTTGCATGTATGTCTGTGTGCCACACTGTGTGTGGGGGGGGGGCACGTGCGCATACGCATGCGCGCACGTTCTTCCCACAGAGGCCAGAAGAAGGTGCCAAATCCCCTCAAACTGCAGTTATAGACCATTGTGAGCCATCATGTGGGTGCTGGGAATTGAACCTGGGTCCTCTTGATGAGCAGACAGTGCTCTTAACCACTCTGCCATCTCTCCAAGCCTCTTGTTTTGTAAATTTAATCTTACTTGATTATTCTGTGAGTGTGCACAGCAGGTGTGTGGAGGTGAGAGGACAGCTTCCAGGGGTCAGTTCTCTCCCTCCACTCTATGGGCTCCTGGACGGAACTCAGGCCATCTGGTTAGTGAAGTAGTCAGAGTCATCTCACTGACCATGGTTATTTTGTTTAGATTTTGTTTTCAAATGGGCTTTCTCTTTACTCCACAGCCCAGGCTGGTCTCAAACCCTAAAATCCTTCTGCCTCAGCTTCACCAGTATTGAGATGACAAGTGTGTGCCATTACACCCAGCTTACACCTCATCTATGAGGCTTTTCAACTGTTGCCCTTGTTGTTGGTCCTCAGTTTATACTCACAGACACATCTTTACCGCGGTACTTAAATTTTTTCAGCCTGTCTTCGAAAGCCTCTAAGTCAGGCATGTTGACTGGAGGGACGAAAGCACCTATAGGCAGGAAAATTACCAAAGAGATCATCATTGCCCAGTGTGCATGTTACTATGTTAAAGTCATCAGGTACTATGGGATCAGAGAGTAGTCTAAAGGAGTTGGCCACCGAATCACCACCCCATCAAGGTGGGGCATGTACTCTATCAACGGGCTATGGTTACTATGGGAACACTGTGGGAACTAGCTCTGGATTTACTACAGAAAACCCTTACAGTGCAGCATAGGCTGGGATGTACCTCAGTTGGTGGACTGCTTGCCTAGCACACATGAAGCCCTGCTCCATCCCTAGTGATATACAAACTGAATGCGGTGATGCACACCTGTAATCAGGGTGTGCAGGGGCAGAGGCAGGATGAGCAAGAATTCAGGCCTTGGGGCTAGAGAAATGGCTCAGTGGTTAAGAGCACCTGTTGTTCTTATAGAGGATGCAAAGGTTGATTCCCAGCATCCAGATGGTGGTTCACAACCATCCATTAACTCCAGTTCCAGGGGTGCCAGGGCCACCTTCTGGCTTCCTCAGGCACCAGCCATGTACCTGATGTACATACACATAAAATGAAATAAATTCAAAAAGTTTCCAAAATTTTTCAAGACTATCTTTGGCTACATAAGGAAGTTAAGGCCAGCCTAGGCTACGTGAGACTGTCTCAAACAAGATACAACATACAAACTTGGTTTGAACTAAATCACTGGCAGCAAAGATCAGCCAGACAGAAAACAATAGGAAACTGCCCTTTTCTCCTCCCCGACAGAATCCACCCACTCACTGGGTCAGAACCACCTCCAGCCTCACCCACAGCTAACCTTTAGGCAGTTTCCTCTACCAGGTCAAGGACAGAGCATCGTAAACTTTTTCCACATCGACCTCTTTTTTTTTTTTCAATGATTTATTTATTTATTTAGTATACAACATTCTGCCCCCATATATGCCTGCATACCAGAAGAGGGCACTAGATCTCATTATAGATGGTTGTGGTTGCTGGGAATTGAACCTGATCAGGACCTCTGGAAGAGCAATTAGTGCTCTTAACCACTGAGCCATCTCTCCACCCCCCACCCCCCACATTGACCTCTTTTTACTCAAGATTTTTATTTTGGTTTTGAGATAGGATCTTATGCTATTCGGGCTAGACTCAGTTACAATACAGGTAAGGTGGCCTTGAGCCCCTGATCCTGGTCCACCTCCCAAGTGCTGGAATTACAGGTGTGAACTGCTACTACCACACACAGCCCGACACCACACATGGCTCACCAAAAATATTTTTTCTGTGACTCTAAATAAAATGGGTAAAAATCCAGGCCATCAAGGTGGCTCAGCAGGTAAAGTGTTTGTTGGACAAGGCAAGCCTAATGACCTGAGTTCCATCTCCAGAGCACGTAGTGGAATCAGGGAACTCACACCTGAAAGCTGTCCTCTGACTTCCACGTGTGGGAATGGGTGCCCAGTCTCATTCTCTCCCCTTCTGCCCCTCTTCCCCTTTCTCATCTAAAAAGAAGTTGTAGAAGTTAAATGTCTATGGATAACAAATCATCAGCTTATTTAAAGTCCTTTGAGACACTATGTAGTGTAGGCTGGCCTTCAACTAGTAGCAATCCTCCTGCCTCAGCCTTCAGAACCCCAAGTTGTAGGTAGGAGCTACTACATGTGGCTAAGAAATTTACTTTAATTCTCTAAGTCAGGCACAGTGGTGTACACCTGGAATCCCAGCATTTGGAAGGCAGAAACCAAAGGATCCCCTCAAATGTGAGGTCAGCTTGCTCTATATAGAGAGAGAACTCCAGGTCAGCCATGCAGTGAGACCCTGTTTCAACCCCTCCTCCCCAAAAATGTATACATAAAATTTTGCTCTTTATTAAGGACAGAAAGCAAGTTTTCCCACTGGAGAGACAGATTACTTGTTTATTTTTACGTAAAGAAGTAAACACTGGGAGCAAGCAGGGAGACCCCTCAGCAGGTAAGGGCACTTACCATGTAAGCCTGCCGGCCTGAGTCCCATCCCCAGAACCTATGGCAAGGTCAGTGGAGAGAACCAATGACATGAAATCCTCCTCACACTGTGGCATGTACACTTCCCCACCCCACACATCATGTATGTGCTCCAGCGCACACAAATTAATTTTTTAAAAAGAGCATTGTAGCCCGCAATGTGACACACGCCTTTAATCCCAGCACTTAGGAGGCAGAGGCAGATGGATCTCTGAGTCCAAGGCCATCCTGGGTCTACAGAGTTCCAGGACAGTCAGGACAGAGAAATCCTGTTTTGAAAAACAAAACAAAACAAACAAAGAAACCCAAAAGACAACAACAAAAAAAGAAAGGAAAAAGAAGAAATTAGGCTGGAAAGATGGCTCAGCAGTTAGGAGGGTTGAGAACAGAATCTCTAATCCTGATACCCACAAGTGGTGGCTCCCAACCACCTAATACACCAGCCATCCAATGCCATCATCTCCCCTCTGCAGGTACCTGCACTCACATCCACATCCCACATACATAGATAGCACATAAAGTAAAATAATAAAAACAAAATATTAAAAAAATAAAAAGAACCCAGGCAATGGTGGCACACACCTTTAATCCTTGCACTTGAGAGGCAGAGGCAGGTGAGTTCAAGGCCAACCTGGAGCCTGGTCTACAGACTAAGTTCCAGGACAGTCAGGGCTACACAGAGAAACCCTGTTTTAGAAATGTACCCACCCACCCACCCACCCACCCAAAAAAAAGAAAGAAGAAAAGAAAAGGATGGGGTAGGGAAGTATAAGGGCAGTTGCTACTGAATCGAACCTGACCACCCAGGTTTGATCCCTAGGACCCACGTGATGGAATGAGAGCACACCTCCTGCAGGTCATCTTCCTCTGCATGTCTATGACACACACACT